TACCAAGCAGGATCAGGATACCAGCCATGGAAAGTCACTCATGCCAGAGTGTTTCATGCCAACACAAAATATGGAAATTTGACTTGCTGGAACACCAGCGCCCACAACCTCTTCATGCCCTGGGATGCAAACCAAACTTCTGAGAATCAAACTGACTCCTGGAACAGGATAAAAAGAATGGGTTATGAAGCATGGCGAGACAACCTGTATGAATGGACTGCCTGGACAGACGAACTGGCATGACAAAACTTCTCAGACCACATTTGGACAATCTCAAATCCAATAGCTACTAAAGATGGATTGGTCGTGTGGGTTAAAGTATTAGAAGACCATGAGACTAAAACGACGAAGTGCAACTAGATACAGCCAGAGGGAGAACCACCCGAATGACACTGCGATTGGGGATGCAGACCCCTGCTGGGCCTAGCGCACCAAGGGTACTGGCAATATGAAGCTGTATTTCCAGCACCCCACAAACACATATTCTGCCCGGCCATACTTCCAAAATGGGAGTTTTGGGGACACTATAACCTCAAATGTGACAAAATCCCAGTCACGAACAGAACCAGAGTTAGACCTCAAAGAAAGCACCCGACGGCCTTTAAAAAGAAGCCCACATGGCCCATACGTTGCCATAAAACCGGCAATGTAACGGTGCGCAACGAGACTGCCAATGCAATGGGGATTGAAGCACAAACCACTCCGCCCCCAGGTACCACTCCGGCCCCAGCCCAGGACCCAAAGAAATACAACACCGTGGATGAATGCTTAGCAGACATCACATGCCTCGAGCCCTGCATCTGGAACACGTGGGTAAAATGTAAAGACCAAAACTTTATGCTCCTGGGCCTGCTGTGGTTCCAGACTTACTATTGTACCAGCTTCAGATCAATCTTCAGTCCTATCAGGGCTATGCATGAACATTGGCTGAATTCTACCTTTCCATGGATATGGATTAAAGAGAATGTGGTCCACTAGAGATTTCCCTGAAGGCTCCGAAAGGGGCCGTGGTGGACTCATGGGCCCTTACCGGTCACACATGTGTGTCCAAAAATTGCCAACTGTCCAGGAGTTAAAATCAGTACCCAAAGGAGATTTTGACAAAATAGACAAATGTGTTGCTAGAAGAATTTTCTTACAGTGGTTAGTTTTGGGTCAGGTAGGACCTGGAGTGGTTAGTCTTAGGGTCAGGTTGGTACTACAGTGGTTAGTTTTAGGGTCATGTAGGACCTGGAGTGGTTAGTTTTAGGGCCATGTAGGACCTGGAGTGGTTAGTTTTAGGGTCATGTAGGACCTGGAGTGGTTAGTTTTAGGGTCAGATAGGACTTGGATTGGTTAGTTTTAGGGTCAGGTTGGTACTACAGTGGTTAGTTTTAGGGTCATGTAGGACCTGGAATGGTTAGTTTTAGGGTCATGTAGGACCTGGAGTGGTTAGTTTTAGGGTCAGATAGGACTTGGATTGGTTAGTTTTAGGGCCATGTAGGACCTGGAG